CCCGCCTGCAGAGGCTCCCGCGGCGGCCGGGCAGCAGACAAAGCCCCTTGACAAAGGGGCCGCGCTGGGCTGCGTGGGCCGGACGTCCCCGGCGCGTCCCTGCCCGCCCAGCCCAAGCCTCCTGCGGTCCTGGCTGCCCTCGCCCTGCGAAATGCTGACCCAGCCCCCGGGACGGCAAGAGCATTGCTGCCTGCCCACCCTAAGGGCCGGGGTCTCTGGGGTCTGGAGTCGTGGGGAAAAGCTGGAAGTGGTTGTGTTCTTTGGGGACTGCCAGGTGTATTTGCATGCACAAAATTTTCTTGTTAGTGGTGAGTGCTAGTAGGATGTTGGGCTAAAGCGTGACCGGGCTGTTTCTCAACACGTTTGTGACTGACCTCTTTAACTACACGAACGTGGAAGGAAACAGCTCCAGCTGCTGCAGAGTTGTCCAGAACCATCTGAGGGTGGTGAGTTGTGGGCACGACCAGGTTAGTTGCTCTTGGTGCTGGGTTTGTGGCCCACGAGCCTGTGGCTGCTGCATTTCTAGCAACTTGGGGGACAGAAGAGTTGGCTCTGCATGTCCCAGACCTTTGGGTCTTAGGGCTGTTGCAATTATGGGGCTTTAAGATGATTCTTAAAGCAAAACAACTAGCAAAACAGTGTCTCAAAAAAACCCAGTGTGTCAAAGATGATCCCCTCCCCTCCAGAAAAACATCTTGGTTTACTCAAGTGTAAATGCCAAATCCACACACCGAGGAGCCTTTCTGCTCACTGCCTTGGCTCTGCCTCTTGTCTGCTTGCTGATATGACTGCTTGGTGTTTTGCCGTCTCCTTCCTGTTGCACAGCGAGCAGCTGTTTCTTGCCCAGTGGGATAAGAGCAGATTTTGGGGGATGCCTCAGACGTCAGGTCTGAGGCTTAGACCCGGGAGGTTTTCCTAAGGTTGGACATGCTTTTTCCAGGGTTGATCCTGTTAAGCGTTGCCCCAAGCCTCCTGCCTGTTGGCAGAATGATCCTTGCAAGGGGCAGCAGTAATATTTCATGGTGTTCAGACTCATGCTCCCAGCTTGGACAGGGAGGGTAGGACATGACCCCCATCCCTCTTATGTCACTGGGGGTCTGTTGGTTTTGGCAGCTGGCAGTCAGGCAGCACGCTGGGTGCAAGCCAGAGCCTGGGGCGCCTGCGGTCCCTCTGAGGCTCCTGGCGTGTGCCCAGGTCTGTGGTGAGAGGCGCTGTGCTGTGGTGCCATTTGCCCGATGAGTGGAGCACAGGCTGCGGGCTCCCGCCCAAGCCCAGGGTTGCTGCAGTCCCTGCAGACCTCTGCACAGAGAATGGCACACGTGTACCTGGCTCTGGCATATGGAGGGCAAGGGCGTGATGACTTCTGCTAGCCTGGGGCTTGTTTCAGACTGCCTTGTCCTCTGATTTTAGGTTGGCGATAAGGTAATGGTCCTGGCTAGGTCAGGGCTCTGGCAAGAAGTCGTGAACGTGCCAGCCAGTCAGACTTTCCTGATGCCTGAGGGGATGAGCTTCGAGGAAGCGGCTGCTCTTCTTGTCAACTACATCACTGCCTACATGATCCTGTTTGACTTTGGAAACCTGAGACCCAACCAGAGTGTCCTCATCCACATGGCTGCAGGTAAATAGTTCTCGCCAGCCTGTGCTGAGACTCTTGGCCTCAATATGCAGCTTCTGAATGGGTGGCACGGGTGAGGAAGCGATCAGAATGGGGCTGCACTGACAAAACGTCACCTGCCAGAGATGCAGGCTTCACACTGACCCAGGCGCTGGCAAATGCTGAATCCATTTCCCAGCAGCCATAGTCGGTCTCCCCCAGTGTGTGTCACAGGCGTCAGCCTGCCCCAGGCAAAGCCTTTATTCCATACCCTCCTGGCACTGTGCGATCGGTACAAGCAGGGGTAATTTACCTATCCAGAGGCTTTTCTGACTGCTGGGGCTGTTTGCTTCTAAGTCTTTCTCACTGCTGTTTTTCAGGTGGTGTGGGAACTGCTGCCATCCAGCTGTGCAAGACTGTAGAAAATGTCACCATTTTTGGCACAGCATCTGCTTCCAAGCATGATTCACTCAAGGAGAGCGGAGTCGCTCACCCCATTGACTACAGAACGATGGATTACGCAGAGGAGGTCCGGAAAATCTCTCCCAAAGGTACCATGTGGTGGAAGACTTCTACAACTGTCCTGCATTTCTTTCAAGTGCAAAGAAACTTCTAGTTACTTTCAATTCCTTCTAGGTGTTGACATTGTTCTGGACCCCCTGGGAGGATCCGATACGTCCAAAGCATTTAACCTGTTGAAGCCGATGGGCAAACTCATCACATACGGTAAGTGTGAGCAGCGTGCCCCCAAACCCCAGCTCCTGCATAGGAGGGACTGTGTGATGGCAGGGTGGGTGCGGATCTGCACGGGAATGCTCTGCACTGCTCTGTGCCTGGACACGCAGCCGTGAGGGAGCATCACTGTTGCTGACTGCTGTGTGTGTTGTAGTTCTGTTATTTCATGAAGGTCTTTAGGATGCTTCACCTGGGTGAGGCACTGAGGGGAGTGAGATTTGTGCCTTGTCCCGAGAGCTCTGGTCACAGGCTCCAAGGCTCTTCCCTCCAATGGCGAGATCTCTCTTCGAGTACGAGCCGGTGCCTGCAGGGGAAGCTGGAATGTCCTCACGGAGGAATGCTGGCACAGCTGCTTTGTCCAGGCTGACTTAATGCACAGCACTAATAGAGCCTTGCTTTTCTTCTAGAGGATGTGTGGGTGATGAGGTTTGAGGCTACTGAATACTTCTCTCTCCATTCCCCAGCCCTGAAACACTGTGATTTTTGTCCCATAGACAAAGCCCTCACACAACCCCCAGTGGGATTCCAGACACTTGCACCAGTGTGCTGCTTCTGTTGTCCCAGCCGTTGCAGCGTGTGGCTCCCCTGAAGAAGCCTGGCTGTAGAAGGGGAGTGCTGTCCTGCCAGCCTGGCTGGATGTGACTTGTAACCCTCTCTTGCCTCTGCCAGCACTCCAGTCTAGCTGCGCTGCTGCTGCCCTCCTAAGAGAGTTGTTGTTCTATATTTCTGCAATATGTGGGTGCCGATAATCCAAATTATGCATATCTTGAGGCCGAGGCAGGTACCTGTTTCCACTGAAGGTTGACTGGGCAGGTCCTGATGTGATCCAGTTCTCACCTGTCCTCCATTGCTGTGTGAGCGGCTGTTACCCTGCGTATTATCTGAGCTGTTATATGGGATGCCCACTGCCTCTCATGTTGTGTTGATTCTAGCTCATCTGTGGCTTGCCTTCTTTTTAGGGGTAGCAAACTTGCTCACTGGGCAGAAGAAGAACCTCATGGCTATGGCTAAAACCTGGTGGAACCAGTTCAGCATCAGTGCCTTGCAGCTCCTACACCATAACAAGGCTGTGTGTGGCTACCACCTTGGATATATGGATGAAGAATTTGAGCTTGTCGGAGGTGTTGTAGCCAAGCTGGTTAACCTGTACAGTCAAGGCAAAATCAAGCCCAAAATAGACTCTGTATGGCCCTTTGATCAGGTGAGTCTGAGCTAACATATAGGCTGGCAGCACCCAGAAATTACTGGGTGATTGTTTTCTGCACAGTGAGCTCTGGATCAGTATGAGCACCTTGTTCATGGGGGCTGAACTGTTGCAAATGTTTAATAACCATCTGTTCTCAGACATTCAGTGCCTTTTTCCTTTTAAGATACTAAGGGCGAGTAAAGTGGCTGGGCTCTTCCGCTCCAGTGCATAGAGCTGGGCAATGCCAGACAGCATCCCTGTGGAATAGGGCAGGTGCTCAGCTAGGCTCTGTGGGCAGCAGCAGCCCATGGAGGGGCTGGGTTATGCATCAGACTGGAGACTGCCCCGAGTCTGCCCCCTGTAATTAAGCAGACAGCTGGGAAGCTTGCTGCTGCCCTTCCACAAGTGAAAAAGAGCCCAGGCATTGAAGCAGAATGAGGATGTTGGAAGAAGAGCGGCAGGTTTTTCAGCAGCTCTGCTATGCTCAGTGTTGTTGCATCGATGTGTCCAGGCAGAGTCAGGTTCTTCCCTTGGAAATCCTTTGCTGGGGTAGGACTTATTGCAGGGGAGCAAAGGACTTGGTAATGATCAGTTGGTGTTAGTACCTGAGAAACAGTCTGATGCAAATGCTTAAGGAAAACTCTGCTGATTCCAGGCCTGGCCCAGGTGCTGTTTTGCTTAAAAATAATAATAAAAATCTGTGCATGTATTGTTCTGTGGTTGTGTAGATGGTAGAAGCATTGTCCTTCTGGCTGTTAGCTGGGTTTCTGCAGTGCTCCGCTCTGTTTGGAAAGGAAACTGTGGTGACGTACACTTCATTCTTCCATGGTTTGCGTACCAGAGCATCCTCATGTATGTTACAGTTGGTCTGTGAATTCTTGAGGGCAGTTGCCTATGGGCAGGCTGGGGTAGCTGCCCAACTCTGTCCAAAATGCATCTGTGCAGAGGCACCCCAATGCTTGACACTTGCTTGGACTGCCAGGAAAGCTGCCTCCTGGTGGGTGGCCCTCAGACTAGTCTGGGTGGACCAAGGGGCCCAGGAAGGGCATGACTGCACTGTGTGGTGGGTGTGCGTCTCATGAGATTCCTGTTGCTTCCAGGTGGCAGATGCCATGAGGCAGATGCAAGAGAAGAAGAATGTTGGAAAGGTCATCCTGGTTCCTGAAGCACCCAAGGAAGAATCCAAAAAAGAAGAGAACTAAGGAGAAGAGATTCGTGCAGATTGTGAATTCATGGTTTAACTCCCTGATCTTTGGGACCTGGAAATGGACAGATCAGTAGCTTCCATCTTCACCAGTACAAGAACATCGTGGTTAAAGTTCAGAAGAGGTTTGCATGCTCTCGTTGTGACTGACCCTTTGCCAGACATGCGTCTTGCCCTAGCTCTCTGTTTTGAAGCCTGTTTATTTTGTACATTTTTCTAATCACTTGCTTCTCTACTGAATTTCCAAACTAACCTTATTTTTCTCTGGCAGTGCAGCTGAAGCTTCCAGGCAGTTGGTGATTAACAACTGGATAGCCTGTCATTGTAAAGTCAAGATGTAACATACTGTAGCAACTGCCAACTATCTCCACAGAAACTGAGCCCTGCTGAAGCATTTGCACTGTCACCTTTGAGAAGCTTGTTCAGCAGAAGAATGGGCCAAACTTAGGATGTTTCCTCAACAGCCAGAGGAAAAGCACGGCTGGCCTAGTTTTAATTCTAGCACGGGCTACTCTTCTGTTTACACTAACCACGCTCTTTCCCCTCTGCTTTCATAGGCCTCTAACACCAGTCAGATAGTAACAGGTCATGTTGTCTTTGCCTTGTAAATAACCATCCTGGCATTTTGGAGTCTATGGCATATTGCACTTAATTTGCAGTCACTTCTCTGTGCAGTTGGCAAATAACCTGACAGGCTGGTCTGGTCTGTGTCTGAATACAGAAGAAAAGTTTCAATTACGTAACTTGATCTTGTCCATTTTCTGATTCCAAACTGTATAGGGAGATCTAAACTGTGTCTGATTTCTAGAGACCATAAGGACTCAACTGTGTCTCAAATGACTGGAACAATTGATGTTGGCTCTGTGTTTTATTAATGTTGGGCTCCAAGCTGGTATTGTTAAGGCTAAACTTCACCCTCGTGTTTGTATTTCCAAGGGCTGCAGTGTTGAATTGGACTTCAGCAAGATGGGAACAAAATACGCCCCTGTTAATGCTTGCTTTGTGCTGTGCCCTGTGCGCTGGGGAGGTGCTGCAGTTTGGGAAGTAACTTGCAAGAACCAGTCCTGTAAGCCTGCTTCCCAGGAGCCTGGGCTGGCTCTTTCTGTGGCACGCCACTCAGTAAAGCTATTGCCAGGTTACCAGCGTAGATGATAAACTGCCCAGCTCTGTGTCAAGCCTCTTGGCCTGGGCATCTTGAGCAGCTTAAATTGTGCTTTCCATTCTCTTCTAGCTAGCTTGTTAGATTTCCACTCAAGCCAACTCTTACCTTGTGGTTCAGTGCTGCAGTAAGGCTTGACTCTTCTTCCCCTGCAACTGCAAGTCTTGGGACCCTTGGGGTCTCTTCCAGCACCGAGGGCTTAGGAACTGCCTGGGGTGCTTCTCCCAGACCAGAACTCAGTTTCTCTTCCTCTTTTCTTTCTTCCATGCATTTAGAAACATAGCTGTGCAGAGACCCAAGCCTAGTTCTCTGAGCACTTAATGTCCTGGGTGGTGCCCCCCCTTCCTGCTGGACCCTGTTTTCAGCCCTGAGTGACTGTGGTGCTGTTTGTGCTTGCTTTGAGGCTTTGTCATGGATTGTAGGTGCTGCGGGCTTTTAGGCTTCATTTTGGATTTGAAAAGGTAAACCGGAGGGCGCCAAGAAGAGCTGCCCATCATGGAAGAGCTCAGGCTCCAGGAGCAAAACCTTGCTACTAGGAGTCCTGCTTAACCAAACCCCAAGGAGGGAAGGTGCCTGCTGGGCGAAGGGCCCCATATGCGAAGCCCCTCTGCCGCTTGAGAGCAGCCAAGCTCTGTGCAGGGCTGGCGGTTCCCGTGCAGGTGAGGAGTGTGGCTTCTTTCTCTGCCAGCTCTATCCTTCAGCGAGGCTCCTATCTATCAGTGCAGCTTGTATTTCAGGTGCTTGGGCTCAGTCCCTAGTTCTGCTGCCTTTTAGAAATGCATAGGCACAGCCTCTGGGGGACTTGCCCTGGCTAACTTTAAGTATTAAAACAACCCCATTCCCTATGACCTCAGAGGAGGGGCTGGAGCCCTGTCACAGATCCTTGTCAGTCCATCTCTCACACTTGATATGAGAACTTCATAAACATGGTCTGATGAAACTCACAAACACAACTTTTAACCTTTCTGAATCCAAAATCTTGCTGCTTCTTTTTTCAGCCTGCCCTGTCATGCTAATTTAGATTAAATCCAACAGTGTCTAATGCTACTTTACCAGGTCTGACAACAGAAGGACTGTCTAAATTGCTGAAATGGGAAGTCTGGACCTGTTCCTCCAAGAAACTGGACTTCACCTTGATGAAAGAGCAGCGTGCTCAAATGGCACACAACCCTGCACATCTTCAGGTTCTGCACACTTGTAAAGGGGAAAACTATCAAATTGTGTTTCACAGTAGCATCCTCTCCTTGCTTTACTCTCGGCTAAGCGCATGCTCAGTGCCTTACTTGGATGGCCTTGGATCAGGCAGCGCAGCAAGGCTCTCGCAGTCTGTCCCTCCCAGTGCAGCGTGAAGGAGGAAAGCGGGAGTCTTGCAGCTTCCCGTAGGACACCTGACATGCTGCCTTGCGGTACACCACAGAAAACAGTATCTCAGTGCCTTCTTCTACATGCCTGTAAGGACTAGGAAGTCACTGGAGCCTTTTCCATTCTGGCCTTTCAAAGTATTGCCAAAAACCTGTTATGACTCTTGCTAGCTCTGTTTTGTGAACACTGGTGACGTAGTCTGACTTACCGTGAATAAGACACTCCCTTTCCATGTATTACAGCCTTTCCAGGGCCGTCCTGGTGGTTCTGTGTTCCCCAGTCCAGCAGAGCTATTGTAGAGCTCTTGTCTCCCCCAGGGCAGCTGTTTGGCTCTGGCCAGTCCTTGAGTGAGGCTTTATCTGCTGCCCCAGCCTTGGCTCTCCAGAAACAATCCCGGCTCCCGATGCTCTGCGGGTAGCTGCTCATGTATCCTCTACCTACAAATTCCTGAAGCCCTTATCAGGGCAAGAGTGCTAAGCAGTTACTATCTGTTACGAGTTTAGCACTGACTTTTATGTCCTTTGGTAGCAACAATGTTTTCTACAGAAAGACCAAGATTAAATGTAACCTTGCTCCTCACTGCCTCACTGATCAATGCTGTGCTCTAGGTGGTTGTGGTTGGTTGTTTTTTGGTTTTGTTTTTTTATGGTTTTTTTTTTTTATGGACAAACATTTTATGGGCCAATAAGTATAGAATCTATGTAAAACAACTTCAAGTGTCTTAACTCAATAAAGTTAACCAGCAGGTTTGTATACTAAGGACCAAAGCAAAAAACAAAAACCCTACGATAAAAATCATTCCACTTAATGTTGCTTAACTGTTTAGGGCAAAGTCGTGCTATTGAGAAAATGGGAGATTCCTGTGCATAATTGCATGTGCCGTTCCAGCTATCAGAAGTGCAATTTAATGTTTATTATTTTACTGATTGTCTGACCCAAAGGTTGTGCCGTGAGGAGTCCAAGTGGAAAGCATAAGGAGTTCATAAGCAGAGGAGAGGCTGGAAGAGCCCCCCCCCGCTGCCGTGGGGGGGCTGCTCAGCACAGGGGTGCCTGTGCGAGCACCACTCCTGTGTCATTACTGCAGTCGCCTTCCCAGACTGGTACTGCTGGTCTTGGACAAAGTTTTGCTATCACCAGGCAGCTTTTGTCGTGTTTTTGACTCTTTGGTTTCTCTCAAGCTCAATTATGTTGCACGCTAACTGCAGAAGGGGAAGGGAGCAGAAGCAGCCTCGGCTTGCGCAGAGGAGCATGGCCCCTGCCAAGTACTTTGAGATGGGGGAAGGAGTTCAGCTGTACATTTCATTTTGGACACCTGTATTAAAGTAGAATTCATTGACCAGGGAGAAGTAAGAAGCATTGTGGGCCTCAGGCTTTAATTGATGCAGAATCCTGGCCCACTTACAGCTGCTATCATAGGTGTAAAAAAACCACTCTTGTTGCCTAATGAAGCCTCTAGTGTGCTAAGCCCTGGTGATGGCAAAGTGTGACTGGCAAGTAGTGCATGAGTGTGATGTGAAATGCATTAGACTCTGAGCCTCTTATAACATACGGTCTGGTCTGTACTAAGTTGTGTTGATTTGCAGATATGTGATACGAGTGATACTCATCCTACAGACACATGGAAAAATCTTTGTTTAAAAAATATATTCTGCTTTATGTGTGTAACCAAGTTGGACAGAAAGCAAGTGTGCCAATGCTGTTTACATGACTATAATGTGTAATGCTCCTCTGTCTAATGTTACCATATGCCTTATGTGTTTCAAATGTTAATTAAAAGCATAACAAAAGCCTCAGTGGTATGCTGCTCAATCTTCTGTCGGAACGAACCCTCTGCCCCCAGCTCAGCCTTTGGGACACTTATTGCTTCTCCAGGCAGTCAGTGGGCAGACACATTCAGTTTATAAATTCTAACTGTCCCAGGGTGAGAAGATGACTCTGCTCTCAAGGACAACTGTTAATTGTTGCCTCGAGTGTTGCATTGATCTAACGCCCTGTTCTGGAGGGCAGCTATGGTGATTTTTGTTCACAAAGCCCTTAGCTGGCCTCTGCACTTTACTCTGTGTCTGGGTGTCTCTGTAGCCAGTTGAGATTGAAATGGGTGCCTGGGGTGATGGTAAGACAAGGCCTGAACAACCACTACTAAAAATGCGGGAATAAATCTTGTTTATTATACTGCCCATGGCTGTATAGTCTCATGGGAGGCAGCTGTCCTGGGCACTGCAAGCTGTTAATGCTCTCCCCAAGAGCATCAGGTTGCCTGCTGGCTCCAGAGCAGGTGCTGGGGAGGGACTGTAGCTCAGGGCTGTCTGCTTGAGGACTGAAATGTCTGAGTGAACAGCTGAAATTAATGACAGCTCAGCTCTGGCACAGGCTCTGGCGGTGGCTGAGCTGGAACCTGCCTGTAGTGGCCGGAGGTGGAAGAGACTTCCGGAAGATGGGGGCTGGACTACACGCAGGCTCCTGCCCAGGTTTGGGTTATGCTGCTGAAAGCCACGCCAGGGCTCAGCCTGGAGCTGGTGTTGAAACAAGCTGTGTAACTGGCTGGTGAGGACACCCATCCAGGAGGAGCTGGAGTTTCAGGGAAGCTCCGATCCATGCTGAGGCTTGCTGTGGGGGGCGAGGATGGAGGTGCTGCTGTCACTAACGTGCAGATTTCTGGCTACCTCTGGGGACACAGGAGCTCCTTGGACAAACACCTGCTTTTTCCTGAGCTGTCTGTGTTAAGCTGCAGTTTTGTCAGCTGGAAAGGAAGGTGAAGCGAAGGCACGGGCTGCGGCTGCTCAGGCAGGGAGTCTCATGCGATGCCCAGTCTCTTCAGTTCTATGCAAACCTCAGAGAGATAGTGGGCGTCTGGATAGCCGTTCCTGCAGGGCAGAGAGGGAAGTGGTGTAAATCCTGCTGATGGTGCTAAAACTACTGAGGGGAGCAGCAGTTTATTTTTGCCCCATCCCTTCAACAGGGGCTGAGGGTGGAAGTCCTGCTCCCTGGGAGCTGCTGCTGCCCGCAGGCACAGCTTGCACCCAGAGCTGGCTGCAGAGCGCTGTCACGGGAAAAGCCAGGAAAGCTGTAAGTGAACAGGGCCCAGAATTCTTGTCCATGGGGAACTTACAGCTGTGGGATGGGCGAGGGCTTTAGCTCCAGCTGAAGGGTGCCAGGGCTGGTCTGCCACACCACAGCTGCCCTGTGAGCTGAAGCAAAGGGAGGCACCAACTCTGCCGTTGTGGGAGCCTGGAAGAGCCACCCATGCCAGGACCTGTTGAGCTGGAGCCCATGGTTCTCCTCCTCCAATTGCTAAAAAAAAAGCCCCACACCTGGAAGCTTGGAATGAGCTGGGCCATACCTGGCTTTGCCTCCATCCCAGGAGGTTTTGTGTGGGATAAGGCCCCATGTCACTCTTTCCTCTCCATTACAGGACTTGATCTGGAATGTCAGCCCAGCCGCAAATGCTTTCTTCAACAGCATTGCTGTCTTCTGCCCTTCCCTGTTGTCAGGCAGGAAGGCATAGAAATTCCCCCCTTTGTAAGGCTGTCCTGGGCGGGGGTCACCAACCTTAGAACAGGAAGAAAGCATTTTAAACAACAACCTGAGTGCTGTGCCTCAGAGCTGGCTTCTGAGATTCTGTCCAGCTTGAAAATACACAGATGACTGTGGCCCCCATGGGCTGCTAGTTGCTTTGCACTAAAATCAGAGGCCACACACCCTTCAAAAGCAGCAAGCTGCTCCCAAACCTAGTGTGGAGCTTTTTGCTTTCCATGGGGTAATACCTCTGCTGCTTTGCATGTGGGGCATGGAGCTGTAGCTGCCCTCCCCGCCCCCCGCCTCATCCCCCCCCCCCAGGAACACTGACAGAACCCATTGCATGTCCTGCAGTGGGATGGGGAAGCCCCTGCGGTGGGTACCTACCCCTTGCACGCCATCAGGGATGTTGTAGGCAACCTGGAGCGTCAGGTGTCGATAGTAGCCAGGCAGACTCTGAGACAGGGAGGAGATCTTGAATGTCCCTGAGATCTTGTGGCTCGGGGCAACCGAGGAGGAGCTGCAGCAAGTTGGCTGCGTACTGTCCGCTGCAAAACATGTCCTGCACAAGGCATGACCGCAGGGGGCCTGGCAGGTCACACCTGAGCCCTGACAAGCATCACACCGGCCCAGAGGGGTCTTGCCGCTTTCCTGTCCAAGGCTGGGGCCTCTTGTCTGCTGTGACGAGAGGTCAGGCTCCTCCTGCACATTGCTCCTGCCCACTGGGAGCAGGGTCCGTTCCTGGCCCCTGGGCTCTGCTGCAGGCGACTGTTCGGCTGCAGCCTCAGGTGGCTCAGCAGCCGTAGCCCTGTACAGCCAGGTAGGCAGGGAATGAGGAGCACCATCTGTTGCAGGAACTGGTGACCGCAGCTGTCCCATTGCTTCGTTGTGGCCTCCTCTGCTTTTGTCTCTTGCAAACTGGAATCTGTCTGGCAAAACCTGCTTTAGTCGTGCAATGTCAGGCTCCCCCACAGACAGTTTTGTCTTCGGCTGCTCCTGGGACTCCCTCAGGCCAGCAGGATTTGGCTTATCCACTATGCTAGGGCTGAGGAGGCTGTTTCCTCCTTGCACAGCCCCAGAATCAACATGGTCATTGGCCTCCTCCTGCCCCGGTGCCTGCTGGAACCTCCAAGGACTGAGGGACCTCTTTTCCTCAGCCTCCGGCAGCCGGAAAGCCCTGAGCACATCTGGGTGGTCTGCTTTATTGCTAATGTTCAGGTGCTGCAGGCCCATCTGTAGGGACTCCAGGCTGCTGGGAAGGGCTGCACCCAGCACCGTGTCCTGGCTTCTGCTCGGCTGGATGACACTTGAGTTCCCTGTACTCTCTGGTCCTGGAGACAAGGATGAAGACTTCAGGGCACGGAGCCTCCTGGAAGAAAACACGTGGAAGGCCTCAGTCACTCCTGGCAGCATCTCCTTGGGGCAGGCAAGATATAGCTTGTACTTGTCTTTGCTGAGTCCAACCTGGAGGGATTTTCCTCGCAAGAGACTGCACAGTTGACTCAGGGCACTGTCATCTGGACCATCTACAGCGAGCTCCGAGTAGCTCATACTCTGACACACAAGGTCAGGACACTTCTGCACAAGAGCTTCCACCTTCCATTTAGCCTGGAAAAGCTTGCTCCTGTCCTCCGCCTGTAGCGTCAGCACAGTGCAGTCCCCAGTACAATGCTCTGAGATCTGCACACCTCCATCCCTGCACAGTTCATCAATAGCAGAGCGGCAAACGTCTTTCAGGTAAGACCACTGCAGAGAGTCCAGGCTCATTTCTTCACTCACCCTACTGCCTCCGCTGCCTGCCCTGCCAGTGTCTTGGGGCTTGTCGCTTTCCTTTGACCTTGGCAGGGAGAAGCTGTTGGAACGCCGCAGCAGAGGTCTGGATTCAGAGGGTTTAGAGTCTAAAGCAGAAGAGGTCCTTGTCATGTCAAAGGTACTAGATGTGCTAGCGAGGGGGTGGTGCTTGATGGGACCTGAGCCTTTAGAGTCCCCAGGATGCTGCGAAGTGCTGTTTTCTTTGCCCCCAAAGGGAGACAGAGCCTTGTGTCTTGTAACCCTGGCACCTCCTTTCACATGGTCCCATTCTTTGGGGTCCTTCTGCTGAGACTCTGCCGCTGACCCCAAAACCACATCTGTCGTAGAGACATGAGGCTGGTTCTGCTGGGTCAGTGCTGTTGGGTCACTTGGACCTGGAGCACGTGTCTCTGGTAAGAGCTTTCCAGAAAGCTGCGCCTGTCCCACCGGTGGAGCGTCCTGATTCAGCAATAGGCCCCGGCTGGCCTGAGACCTGTCAGCTTTCAGACTGCTGAAGTTGGCAGCTAGCTTGAGCTCACCTTTCAGCTCCAGCCTGCCTGGGCTGAGCCTTGAGGTTGAGGTGTCCACAGGTGCTTTGGGCTTGTGCAGTGCAGCCTCTGTGGTGTGGGAGGTTGCTGAGTGTGAGGGCAGGGACCTGCTGAGCATGCCAACCGTGTGTGCAGCACCTCTTCTGGTGCTGAAATCCTGAAGGTACTGCTTGGCCTGGGAAACATCAACAAGGTTTCCAATAAGATAAAGCTGCTTCTCATCCTCATGGCAGAGCAACTGGGGATACAGTTTCTGAAGCTCATGTGTCAGAGCCCTGAGTACCTGGCTGTCCATATCCAGTCCTCCCTTGGTGACCTTCTCCTTGCGCAAGCTCACCTCCAGCTGCTGGTAAAGCTGCTGCAGGGCCAGACGGGCCTGCCGCAAGGTGTCCATATCCCCAGACATACCTGCAGATGGCTGGAGGTACAGTATGGCGATGCCATCGCTGCTAACATCCACCACATCCACACAATGCTGGCATAGCACACCTTGGTACTCGGCAGCACAGAACCTCTGCATGTACAAGTAAATGTCCGAGTCCATCACTAGGGAAAAGTCCTCCAGCTGTTGCACAGCTTCTCCATCCACTGGGCCCCGAGGTGATGGGACTTTAGCTGCCTCTTCACACACCTGGTCCCAATTCGGCAGCTTTGCTGTCTCTCGTGCTGACTCAGTGGAGTCGGGCACTTGCTGGTGACCATGCATTCTGGTCTCTTTGGCCACGTGGCTGGAACCTGGCAGGAGGATCTCTCCAACAGGTTGGCTCTTGAAGTTCAGGCTGCCTAGCAGGTCTCTGCTGAAGGCCTGCAGCTCAGTGAATGGTCCCTTGACTGTGCAGTGTGTGTTCTTGGAGTCGAAGTTGAACTGCACATTGCTGTAGCCTTTACGCAAATTCCTCAGGAGGGTTTCGCCGGCAGGAAGCTTGCCATAGTCAACTATCATGCAAGCGCGTATAAAGATCTGTAAGTAAATAGCAAGGGAGTGAGAGAGCAAGGACCAAAAATAACCCCCCTCCAAGGTACAGGGGGAGGCAAATGCACCTGACGCTTGCCACAGCCCTTGCATTATTATTATGACAGAAGAGAGGACATGATCTGCCACCTCTCAGTATCCTGCTTTCAAATGAGATGGGAGCATAACACAGGCAGGACTGAAAGACCGAGCCAGCCCAAGCAACTCTCGGACCTTGTACCCATAGTCAAAAGCTTTCTGCAAACAAGGAATGCGAGGGGCAAATCGCACAGAGATGCAGCCCTGCTTCTACACGCTGGAAGCTCTGCAAACAGCCCAAACCCAAGAAATCCACTACCCCTTCTGCATCTGAAATGCTGTTGCCCTCTTGCTCTCCCAGAGCTTCAGCTGCAGACCTTCAAGCAGTCTGGCACCACAGGCTTTCAGAAAGGTCTGCAATGCCAGGCTAACTCCCATGCCTTTGTTTTCAGTGCTCAGACATGAAAACATGAGATGTGGCTACCACCATACTCTCTTGAAACTGGAGGAAGAGGCAAGAACTCTCCAGTGCCTCCTAGACACCAGCATGTCTGTCTCCTAAGCTCTCCTGAGAAGGAGAGAGGAGAAATATACCGTGCGTGTCCAGCTAATGACACAGCAGAGGCATTAACAGGATCCCCTACGTGTCACCAGATGGGCTGGGGAAATGTGCCCCTTCCCTCCAGTCTGACTATTCTTCCTTGCTTTGACAGGCACAAATACCAAACAACCGAGTGCACAGCCTGCCTGGCTGTCCCTGTGTTATTACCGCAGAAAAAAATAACTCCTCATGGGAATATGAATAAAAATGGATTTGCTTTAAGTCTAATTAAGATCAAAGGAGAGAGCGAGGTCTCCCTTCCCGAGCGTGTCTGCCAGGCACAGAGCCGGTCTGGGAGCCAGCCGAGGCTGTCACGGCCACCTGGGCAGGAGCTGTCTGCTCCTCGCTACCTCATCGGGGCTCAGCTCCGCGCCGTGCGCCGTCACTTCCAGCGGGTATTTCTTCCCTCCGATCGACAACACGTGATTCTTCGCCTTCAGGATCCTCTGGGCCACTGGATGGGAAAAGCCAGCAGCCGCCCGCCTCAGCCCAGCCCCGTGCCGGGGGAGCCGCAGCCCCGTCCCTGCCCCGAACACGCCGGGACACGGGGCGGGAGGGCAGGGGAGGACGGGGCTGGGTGCTCGGGAGCGGGCAGAGCCCACGGGCCGGATCCGGCCGGGCCCGGCCGCGGGGG